GACCCTCTTTTGAAAGCCTTTGAAGTGGAATTTGAATCCCACTGGCAGCAGATGCTCAATTTTATGGATGAAAATGCAGATGGACAGCTTTCGCTTGAGGAATGGCTGCATTACTATCCAAAGTGGGTACAGCTTATAGTAAAAAGGTGGCAGGGTCTGATTTTTTAATAAAGAGCTGAAAAAGTTGCTTTACCAGCTGGCAAAGAGCAAAATAAGATGAACTGAATATAAATGACAGTTTTGTCCACAGCCTATATAAATTGCTATGCCCATCTGGAATATATTGTTATTTTTAAAAAGATATGGGAAAATAGTGAAAAAGTATCTTTTCTTCAGAATGATTTTTTTTTAATCCCAGCTCTAACTGCAAAACTGTCTAACATGTGTGCTCAATTTTCATGTTATTCTGTTAATAAGTGGTTAACATTCAGAGTTTATTTCACATTCAGAGTTTATTTCAGTCTTTTTACAATCATTAAGTATATTTCACTTCTTATTTCAGCATCACAGCCAACGTTCATGCCAAAAACCAAGATAATTTGCCCACATTTCTCCTTACCATGGCAGACACCTTGTTTGACTTGATGGACACCAAAAGTAAGGCAGGATCCTAAATAAATAAGATTTTTGTGCACATATGTTTTACCATCCTGTTTGTTCTTCACTCATTTTAGTACCTGTACAATGTTACCGTCGTAGCTTTTATTTAATTTCTTTTTGTGCTCATGTCATTAAAAAGATAATCAAAGCCATTTTATCTGCTCCAAAATTTTAACAGGGGTTTGTTACATTTTCTGTGATACACTTATCTTGTAAATAGGATCATGGATAACATTTTTGGAATGCATTTTAGCAGATAAAACAACTCCCAAGGAAATGAATTTCAAATAAGTATGATAATATGGTTAGGCACTAGCATTATACATAATCACCAAACAGTTGAGTTTTATTTAATGAACACAAACTTGGAATAAAAGGACGTAATTCTTTTTTAAATTTATTTTCATGTAGTAATAATGCTTTATTCAAAGCTCTATGTTTTGGAAACTGATTTTAACACTCCTTTTATATCCTTATACTCTGCAGCTTATACGTCACATGCATCTGGTGACAATATATATAAACATAAATACTATTCATTATACAACAACTCAGCAATAATGTGTAAATAAATGATATATAGTGTATGAAATTGCAAGAATGTATGTATTATATTTCAGAGGATGGTGTAATTGATGCTGAGGAATACAGTGAATTTTGGACCAAATTTGATAGAAGATATCCCGTGGATGTGGCTACAGCTAAAGAGCACCTGGCACATTTAACAGAGGTGATAAGAATAGATTAGATTAGATTACTTTTTAAAAGTAAAAAGAGTTTTTAAAAAACAATCTGTTTCAATCCTCTTGTCAGTTTTTGAATCTTATGTAGATAGGTGGCATTGAAGATTTAAGGGATGTATATATAGTTAAGTAAATCGAATACCTCCGAGTTCAGTTCATACGATTTTAATTATTCATCCCCAAATTAATTTAGAATTAGCATTCAGGTTCATTCCTAAAGGAATAATCCAGTGTCATTGTTTAAAACAAGTCACTTAAGCATTTAACTGGACTTCATAATCTATTTCTTAATCCTCTTATGCAATCCTCAAAATAAAGATATTCAATACAATTCTCTAATTGTGAAATCAGGTTACATCATTATAATCCCTAATTTATTATTAGATTAAAATATCAATTTGACTTTTAAAACCATCCATTTTATTATTATAAGAATACTATTTATTTTATTTATTATTAATATTATTGTTAATTATTGATTGATTTAAGTTTTTTTTTTTTTGCATTCAGAATGGGAAGTATGACATGGACATCTACCACTACAGGGCTGTCTATGCAGACTACACATGGTCTGATGACCCAGATACTTTTGGGCGTTATGCCTACGGACCTATAGTACTATAATAGGAACTACAGTGTAGAATACTTAACAAGTATTTCAAAAAAAAATTTAAGCTTGAAGTGAAATTCAGGACGTACACAGCTGCTTTATTACTCAGTTTGAAGAAATAGACAATGTTTTTGTGGTAATGACCAAAACTGGTACAAACCACTTAAGAATACACAGGTACACTATTGTATAATATTATGTTGACTGGACAGTGCTTGCAATGGTGATGCCGAGAGACTTACTTACATCTTCTCACATAAAGAAGATAATTATTTGCTGCAAATGCCTCCCGAAGTAGAACACACACTAAAAGAAAGAACAGAAAGTGAAAATAAGCAAAAAAAAAAAAAAAAAAAGCACAAATGTAAATGGTTGAATTGTTTTTAGTCCTTGTAAATAACAATGTGAAGAAAAAATTTAAAAATAAGTTTGTTTTTCGCTGGGCACTTTTTTATTTACTTGCTTGTTTATAAATTTGAAAAAAAAAAGACCCTATAGATATACATCTATGGGTTTTGGACATTCAATTCTCAATATTGATCATGGTTTTAGGCATTGTTATAATAGATTTGGGCTGTATTCTTGATACACATTTACTGCCTCATGCAGTCCATTAATTACTACCGCGGTAGCTTGTAAAACATGGTTGTGACTTGTTCTTGACATGTTATTTAATGGCATCTGAATTTTTAACAAGCTAGCTGTCGAAAGGCATCTGTTATTTATGGTAGAAAAAAGTGTAAACGGTAAAAATGCTATATCTTCACATTTATACACTGGTGCAGGGTGGAAGAAGGGATATATAAACTATAGACTGCCTACGATGTGTTTACCCTCTGTGAGGACTCATGCTATGCACTCGTGTATGCCACATAACTCTTGCTGACTCGGCGTCTATCTATTACATACCTGCACTTTTCTGTGCTGCAAGAATTTTTTATAGGCCTATAATTAGTTGGCCGCTGACGGAGAAGTGGGCCTACATTGTGCACGAATTACCAAAGTAAGCCCATTGGCTTTCCATTGGCATCTGCATGAAAGGGGGGGGGAGGGGGGCAGTATTACGCCTGATTTCCAGTCTGCATTTTGAAAGTTTTTTTTTTTTTCACATGGTCGAAATGCGATGAGAAATTGCAAGCTACTTTTTCAGAATTTTCAAGTCGTTTTTACAACTTTCACTCAAGCATTTGAAACCCACAGACCCAGGACGGTTAATATATACTGTTATACTGTTGAATAAATTATCCTTGTAACAAAATTAGAACAATATATATATTTTTGTGTGTGTGGGTGTGTGTGTGAATCAAGAAAATTTACTTAACATAAATGAAGTCATTGAATAATATTTACAAGAGCGTAATAGAGAGTTTTTCAATTTTTATTTATGGAAAAAAATCGTTGGCTCAAACGACGATTTCCTTTTACCCATTATCAGGGTTGCGGTTATTAATCGTGTTCTTTGTAGACCATAACCTCGTGGACAGTATCTTTTCGGAACTAATCTGAAAACCGCGTCTCTTTAGAAGGAAGCCTACCTGTAGCTTGCATTATACTTTTTTGTACTCCTTTATAATATCTGTTGCACATGATATTTTTGTAAAATAAATATTTTCTTAAATTGAATATAGATAAATAATATCAACAATTACATGTGCTTTGATATAACCTTCGGTTATATGGCCTTTGAAAAGAACCAAAATAACTCGGAACCAGGTGCTATAGACGGAAGTTAGCCTATGGACATGCGCAGAGTTGCCGAGTTAGAGATGTCAACTTGGCAAGATATGACTCCTATGCGAAGTTAGTAAAGTCTGCGCTTAGCAGTTTGAAGTGGAGCAAGCTTTGATCGAGGTTTGACCATTTTCTCATATTTTAATAAAAATTTTCACTAAATCTGGGTTATGATTCCGATATGGGATCGCAACGGCAGTTGGGGAAATGCGTACACGCAGTTACCGAGTTCGAATGAAAATTTGGGTAATTTTGCACCATTCATACATGTTTAAGTTTTTCTTATATATACTGTATAACTTTGAAGGTAGTGATAAGGAGGAACAACGAAAAGAGACCCTCGTCATTCGGCCAAGCTAAGGCTTTACAGTTCCATACAATCACTAATTGTGATGGTTTCCTTATTCCCATAGTTCCAATAGTTGAATTTTCAGTCACAGGTGGATATGACACTAGTAATTAGACACATGCAATGGTTATGTGTCTATTTACATGAAGTTTAAAGTGGGCTGCTAGGAGGCCTGAACGATAACATGCATGGTGAAATACTTTCCACCTTTCAACATTCATTACAATTTCAGCAAAGCTCAAAATCAAGATCGCTGTACTTTCAAATATTACCTTCATTCATCCAAACCTCTATCAAACAGAAATTAAATTCATTATTTCTTTTCCAGAGACACTGACAGCTTATCACAATGCAGAGCTACACCAAGACATCCCCTCCCCCCTCCCCACAGCCGGGTGAGGCCACACTCTATATGAACATGCATACATCTCACACGTCACCGACCATGTCCCAGAGGTGCTCTGACCTGGCTTTGTCGGCAAAGAAATACAGATATTTCAAACGCCTCTTCAAGTTTCGACAGATGGATTTTGAGTATGCCTTTTGGCAGATGATCTATTTGTTTATTGCTCCACAGAAAGTGTAAGTATTGAAATAATAGATATTGTTTTGTAGCATTTTTAGTATATTAGCAATGTTTTTATTTGCAGGACATAAGTTGAATAGGTGTCAGATAAAACAGATAATTTAAACTATAAAAATGGTGTCGAGATTAAGATGGATAGATGTGAATGGTGCCATATTTCAAACATTTGATTGCATTTATTCTGCTTTATATCACACGTTTTTATGATAAATTTATTTATTTATTTATTTATTTATTTATTTATTTATTTATTTATTTATTTTCTTTGAAGTTTCATACTTGTATTTGTTAATTTTTTGTCTCAACAGGTACAGGAATTTTCAGTATAGAAAACGTAAGTTTTGTCTTTTGTAGAAGAGTTCTTCTCATATAACTCCTAAAAGCTGATTGATGTTAAAAAGATGTAAAGAAAAATAATGGTTTTGTATGCATCAGGAATTTTAGATATCTAAAGAACGATTTGAAATCTCTTTTTAAATCATTACTCATATTCTGTCTGCCATCACTATTTTGACTGCCATCACTGTTTCAGAAACCAAGGACCAGTGGGCAAGGGATGACCCAGCTTTTTTGGTGCTTTTAGGTTTCTGTTTGTGTGGTGAGTAGACTAAAATCAGACCTTGAAATATTGATTTAAAAATGATTTATTCAGCAACACCTATACTGGTTAAAGGACTGTCTGAACTTTTCTGATTTATGATGTGAGTGGATTAAGTAAGTTATTTAAACAGTTAAAATACTATCTTTTGGCAGTGATGCATTAGGCAGTGAACGGTTAATTTGTTTTCAGTCCATTTTTTGCTTTAGTTATATTTGGTCATTGATATAGTTTTCCAAATATGAGAAGGCATAAAATGCTTATCATTGTTCCATGGTTGCTTAAACTGACAGAGCAAACAGAACAGAAAAACTTCCTTAATAGAGACATAGTTTTGAGGGTAATTGCTTTCAGAAATGAAGATGGACTTTTTTTTTCATTTCAGGATCCTCTATAGGCTTTGCACTAGTCCTTGGTCTTGGTTTCTTTAATTTCCTCAAGTTTACTATTTGGGTGATATTTGTGGACTGTATAGGAATGGGACTACTAGTGGCCTCTATATTCTGGTGAGAAAACTACTATAATTAATAGATACTGTTTTATTTTCAGTGGGATGATTAACCCATTTTTCACATATTTTAACTTGTATTTTTTCATGTTTGAGGAAAACTAAGTGTGCTGGCAATTATAAAATTTCATCAGGAAGTAATAAAATTTCAGATTATACAGAATGAAAAATTTAAGTACGTGCTGTACATTTTATTTTCTAGACAATATATCTTAAAATTTTCAGAGTGAACTTTAAGGATTTTTATTAGTAAAAACCCAAAATCATTTCTCCTACATGTTTTTAAATTTATTTTTACTCTAGGTTTGTGGCCAACAGGTATCTTGTCGCAATTCCAAACAGAGGCCAGGAGGTGGAGTTTGGTTATGCTTTTGACGTTCACTTAAATGCCTTCTTCCCTGTGCTCATGATTCTGCATGTTTTTCAGCTGCCATTTTTGTACTGTAAGTATGCAAACTGGATGTATTTCCTAGTTTAAAATGATTTCTAACAGGTATTTAAGCAATTTTGATCAAAGTTCTTAGCCCAAATGATAAGGTTGTGTTTAGAGATAGAAATAATTAAGGTGTCTACTTTTAAGTACTCTTTTAATTGCATTGCATCTGATATCAGTATATTTTTGAATGAAACTTTCAAAAATTTGATTTTTTAAAATATATTTCAGACAAGAGCATGAACATCTTCAGCAGAAACAAAGCCCATTTAGTTATTTCATCTTTTCAAAGAGAAGAAAAATGACATAGTTTTCCTCTTAAATTTCAGTTATAAATGCCAACCATCAGTCCTTCTTATCCTACTTTTTTGGCAATACACTGTGGCTGGTTGCAGTGGGATACTATGTGTACATAACATTTTTGGGATATAGTGGTGAGTTGTACTATTACTAATGGCTAACGGTGGTTGCTTCAAATGGGTATATACATATCTGAGATTCTGAAGTGGTTTGCCCCTGTGAAAGACAAATTATAGAAAGGACACTTTAATATATATCTGGCATAAGTCCACAAGGAAATAATTTTTTTTTCAATTTTGTTTGTGTGAAAGACACTACAGACAGGGCCCTTGTATATCTCTGGCATTAAGTCCACAATGAAATAGTTGGATTAATATCTGGTCACCCTGAATTTCATACTGTTGGCCACTGTTACTTTGGTTTTCCAATACATTAGTAAAGAGTGTGTGCTGGGTAGAGGAAAGTTGTGAAGCTCAGGGTGCAGAAAAGCTCAAAATGCTTGTGGCTGCAAGATCAGTGGAAATTCTGGTTATTGTAGGTCCCTATGTTAACAGTGGTCATTGATGACTGAAAAAGTCACATTAGATATTTAGCACATAAGTTTACCTCTTTTAATTTAAATTATTGGTTAATATTTGTTACCCATTTGAACTGCAGCTCTAATTGCATCTTCACTTTTTTCAGCTTTACCATTTTTAAAGAAGGCGCAGGTGTTACTCTCACCTATGATGGGACTGGTAATCTTTTACATCCTTTCAATAGCATTTGGGTGGAATTTTACCAGATATCTCTGCAACTTTTATCACTATAGGGTTTGGAGCCCGTACTAGGACTGGGACTTTACCAGAGCTTGGTGTACAGTGTAAAATACCTAATGAAGACATGCATGACAGATACGAGGGGATGATGTTATCAACCTTTTACTTAACCAAGTAATTTGTATTGCATATTAAAAAAGTCCAAGCCAAATAAATTCAAGCATCTTTAAATGGTGATAAGTTACTGCTTCATATGCATAATGTTATACCGCGTTAAGCATATGCACTGAAAACGGGCACCTTGAGGTCGCTTTTAACTCGGAAGACAAGAATCTGGTGTGTGTCATCTAATCTGTATGAGGCATTGTACCTGTTTCCTCATACTTAGGTGAATGATGCAGTATGTGCACTGATTAAACTGGACTCGTCTGCATAGAAACATTTGTCCAAGGCAGCAATAGTACAGTATAATAATGGTTTTCATCGTAGCTGGAATGGTTTTGTGTCATATTTCACATTCTGCTTGTAGTTTAAATACACATGATAAATGTTATGGTTTTTGATCATATATTCCAGAATACAAAATGTGAACAAATGCTGAATATACTCCTTTCAAGTAATATGCTGGAAAGACATTTACTTTAATTAACTTAGGAAGAAAGAAATGCTTCTTGTAAGTTTTGACCAGTTTGGGGAAAAGTTATATTACGCAGGTATGGACCCAGTTGGTATGGGTTTATTGGATGCAATTTATAAATATAATAAGAAGTATTCTGATTATTTACTGGGCAGGGGGTCAAACTTGTTCTAACTTTATGCACAAAAGGAAACTTTTGGACAAGGATAAACTTGGTAAGTGTAGTTCCATTTTACAATGCTTAAAATCTTAGCATTCTAGATTGCTTGTTTTCATATTTTCTGTGTTGGTGTGAGAAATTTACATGTGATACAACATTGTACATAAAACTGTACATTTTGTATATAAGATCAAGATCATATTTCTGGTATGTTCTGTGGAATAGGAAAGTATGTGGGGCTACTGCAGATAATGTGTATGAAATGAACTATTATGAATATGTATTTCTTGTACTTGGGAAGTGCATCTTAATAAATCTGGAGATTGGTTCAACAAGTGGTTTTGAAAATTTGATATTACTTGATCAACGCAAGGGCAAAGTAATGGGTACCATAGGACTGACCTTAGAGGTTTCACAAACACGGAACTAGTCTTCTATTTGAAAATTATTTTCCATTGTGACTTTTATTTTAACAATTAAATATGAAAAGAGTACCAATCAAGCTGACATAATCTAAACAAATTAGAACCAACAAAAATGCCAACACTCACAATTAACAACTTGCCTAATGTTATTTCTAGAGTAAACAAAATTGCACAGTGACTTTCTGCACCATACTAACCTACTTCCCATAACTACAAAAATAAAAATTAGAGAAAAAAGAAATATGCCATTTTTACATCCTCTTGACAATGGACAGAAGCTAATCAGTGTATGCAACATAGCCTAAGTAAGCTTGTGACAGACATTATTATGTTATCTAGATCAAATGCTATCAGATCAAATCACTGAATTTCAAGATAGCATACAAATTTCACTAACTGTAATATGGTTTTATCTGGAACAATGAATTTTCTGTATAACTTAGATCTCTTCATTTTCCCCAATATAACAACTGAAATTAAAATTTAAAGAACCCTAACTGTTAAATTACAGCAATATGATAGTTATCACAAGAAAATGAGGCCACTTCTCTGGATCCATTGGCATTATAACTGGATAATTTTAAGCACCTTTTTAAAATACACCACCTTATACCACAACCTTTTAAATGTAAAAAACAATCCAATTTTCATGTATACAACTGCTTCTGTAGAAGACACCATATTGTGATTATATCCTCTAAACTTTTATTAGACATGAGTCTTGGTTTTTTAACAAATCTGACACATTATTATGGCACCAATACCTACTGGCTGGGAGTCTGGGCGCATGATGAACTGAATTTAAAATATGGAATTCCACAATTTCGGGGGAAAAGCTCATGTCTTTTCAATTAAAAGCATCGACCAGGACAGAGGCTTATGTTGAAAATACCCTTAAACTTTGAAGACCCTGACTGCATTGCTGCAATTATGTCCAAAACATCGACTCCCTATTAACATAATGTTTGATAATATATCAAATACAAATCATGCTGTGTGCCATCATGCTTCACCAATTTCTGAAAAAAAATGGTTTTAAGAAGCAGCAATTCCAGGCAGCAACAGCCCCACTCCGTCATACAAAATCCACTTTTACACCAATACACTATATTAATTAAACCGTCCGTATAAATCATCACTCATAAACCTTAATAATAACTTTTCGTCAGTATTTTTTCCAACATTTAATAAGGTTCCCAGTCATCGTCGTCATCAAAGAAATCAGCCTCTTCGAAGAAGTCCCGGTTGGTCTCCACTCCCTCAAAAAGTTTATTGAAGCATCCTGAGCCGAGTGTGTTGAAATGTCCATATGGATTACTGCGGCTCAGAGGGGCTTTACACAACCAGCAGAAGTAGGAGTGACATTTGGTGCAAGTCATCTTGTTGCAGCCATCAATTTTCTAAACGAAATTTTAAAAACTTGTTTAAAAAAATTATTCCAGCTGACCAAATTTTATTGAGTAAGACTCCATGTAGTTGTTCGCATATGTATTACTTGGTATTGTAGTGAATATCTTTAAAAAGGGTTGAACAGTTTCATTAGCTGTGTTTTTAATAAACAAGAACAGGTTCATTTCAATAGCCATAGAAAAAATTAACTGAAATTTACCAGCAAATATTTTATCTGCTGACAGTGGTGATACCTATGACAGACCACATTTTCCTGATGAAGTCTGACCGTCAGCAGATGAAATGGTGGCTGGTAAAGTGTTTTTAAAGCAACTAGAAATTCTGTGTAAAAAGGCATGTTACCTCAATAGAAGATCCACAACTTGGGCACTGCTTGCTGTTTTCTTCAATCCATTTCCTGGTGACATTCTCATCCAATATTTTCTTCAAGTTAGCAGCTCCATATTTCTGCTCCAACAATTTCTTTTTTTCAGGTGACCCATTGCGATACTGCTCACAAAGTTCATTGAACTCATCTGAAAATTTACAAAATAATATCTGTTAAATTATAATTTTGTTTGTTCTGACTTCTTGTTTGAAATCAATAATCATGCCTTTATAGTTGTAACTGCCATTAAATCAGATGAAAATCTGCAGGCGTGTAAAGAAGTCTGGAACAATCTAACTTCATCTTGTACAACAGATTCTGAACGATAGACCAAAGTTTGAAACTACTGTAATAACAAATCAAATCTAAAGTTACAAACAACAAATGTTGATCACTGACAACATACAAACCAAATCACTTCTAAAGAAACTGGCCAAATGACTTATTATTAAAATGAGGCAACAAAAATACATTATTGCAAAAAAAAAAAAAGTAATCAACTTGCCTGGTCTTATCCTGCAAGGGGACACCCCATGATAAGTCAGCTTACAGATAGTACAAAACACATAACTGCACTCAGAGCAGCATCCATATGTTGTTTCCTTCTCCAGTAACACAGGGGTCTGACAAATGGGGCGGGGACAGTAGGCAATGTCTGCCATTGTCTCCAGGGTGGTGTGCAGTAACAGGCGATCGTATCTTGCATACAGGTCAGCTCCAACTAATTCTTTTACCTTGACATTAAATCAAGAACATCATTAGTTCATCATAATATAGATTTCTAAATATATACAAGTTATCATAATCCATTGGGAGTTTTAAATCCAATCAAACAACAATATACAAATATATATTTCTTTATCCATGGTATTTTGTACAAAAAAAGTACTTTTAAATCAATTATGAAAGATTGTACTTGAACTGAACTTAAATAATTTAGATAATTTTTAAATAAGGCCTAAAAATCTTAGAAAACATCAGTACTAAATACCTTATCATTTAACATTTTTTGGTTTAAAAAAATTAATAATTTGAAGACATCGAACAGCAGGGATAGTGTTAACATTAATGTATCTATTGACAGCAGAGCATGCTTAAAAAAATCATGTTCTAGTTTTTCTTTTTTTTTTTCTTCATACAAATAAAACCTTACCTGGGAAGGGTGTGCCTGTGATTGACACTTGTCATGTGGGCAAGTCAATGCCTTGACGTTTCCATCAGTGATTTGGACTGTGAAGTAATCCTTCATGCATTCCTTGCAGTACACATGGTCGCAATCTAAAAATTGCATGCACAATGTCCCAAGCTTTTCAAGGAAACAAACATTGCATGCATACAAAGTCCTTTTAAATGCAGCCTCTTTTTCTGCCTTGTTGTACTCTAACAAAGCTGGTAAAAGGAGCTCTTGTGAAGCAATGTCTTGCACAGCTCTTGAGTCATAGTTTGAGTCCATGATTTTTTTACCCTGTCCTTTATCATATGGTGTAAAATTGCCTTTTTCCATTTTCATGGAAGACGACTTTCTTGCTTTCTTTGATAAGATGTTTGACAGGTCCAGAGGACTTTGGATATGAAGATATTCCATTGCCTCATCTTTCAGGAAACTCATCCACAAAAACAGAATTTCCTGATTTTCATTCTCTAACCAAATTTCATCCAGCTTTTTACACAGTCTTGTCAGCTGCAAAAAAAGTAACAGGCAATACACAATCAAAGTATTAAAAATAATAAAAGAAAATTATACTCAAGCTCAATATATTCAGGGGCAGATCCAAAGATACTTTCTGACATGCCTTACAAATTATCTTTGTTGATCCATCTTAAATTTTTGACCGTCTTCCAACAAAAAAGTTATATACCCGTCAATGTAAACTTGAAAATCTGACCATCTCCCCGAAAGACCCAGAAGACGGCCTCAAACCACCCCTGATATTAGTATCATGTATACATGTTCCATGAAATCAGCTGACCAGCCTGACAATTTGTGCAGGAGATCTAGCAATGCTGCATACCTGTTCCTTTGACAGCCACTTGCAGGACAGAGTAAAATTTGGGGGGTTCTTTGAAGGGTAGTCAGGTACCAGTTGAAAGTTAAGCACAATTGGTGGAAGAAATTGTAGCTGGTGCTCTTCATGGTTGTCTAAAATCAAACACAAAATTACATGTAAAAATCACACGTGTCTGTTCTACCTACTAGAGTGCAATGTCACATAGAAATGCATTCTGCGTCTATACAATAATACAACATCCTGTGATAAGCCGTGTAATCACGTACGATAAACAGGTATATTACGCTATTTATAATTTAATAAAATGAAATAAATGCGTATGTACGTGTATTAGTAATACAGAGAATATTTGGCTATGATTTTCAGTGGTTCACTTATGCAGGAAACGCATGACAAGGAAAAGCCACCGACTATTACAGCTTCAAGACTGAGGCTAAATAATGTGTAAATAAATGTGTAAATAAATGTGTACTGTACTTTTCCAAATTCCAAACTTTACGCAGAATGAAGGTGGCAGATCCAAGCAAGCCATAAATTGGCCTCCGGGTTCACTTCCCGTTTCGGAAGCTGTAAAGATATCATCACTGTCATATATACTGGCTAGAGCTAACAGTTCATTTTCCTGGGCCTCCTGATCGCTGCTTGCCATTTTCACAGAATCTACATTTACATAACGTTGGGCAATTTACTGGAGCGATGACAACTAGTTCGCCTCTGTGACCTCGTTAAGATAATGCGCGCTGTAGGGATGGACATCGAACTTTACTGATTTCACATAAAAATTTGTGATTTAAGTACTACTGCAACTAAAATAATTACACAACATTTTTTTAAATATTTTGATCTATATGTCATAACTGTTTGGTCTATAATTGCAGCTTGTATACTTTATGTCATTTCAAAAGTGCGGATTGCATTACCCACCGCAAATATGCACCAATCGGCAATCCTCGGCTCATTCCGCAAGCTCCATACTCATTGTCGAGTGCGGAGACATCCGAATGCTACCGCAATATTGAAACACGAGCCGAGCATCACACAAAGAAATGCTCTATTTATAGTGTATTTTTATAGAGGTAGGTAGAAGCAGTCGATTATAAAGAAGGAATGTTATCTTGATTGGATAGTTTCTTAATGACGACAAGAACTTAAAAGGACTTTTGATAAACGTAAAATACCTAGCTTTTTGTTGTTATATTCATTATTTAGACGTTACGATTTACGGGTAATTCATTCCCGGCGATCGGTATTATTTTTTCAATCTCTGACCTTGAACCAGACTAAACATCTGCTTCGGTCTTCTTTAAGTTAAGCCACGATATGAAGTTTCGCCATTTTCAAAAGAGGATATGTAATTATTAGATATTATTAGTTTTTAAAACCTTGTTTAATATACTTCGTGGCTTGTCAATCTTATGGATGCTCAGTTTACTGGTACAGTAAGTGTAATTAGCCGTACGTTTCATAAGTAAGTGCTTCTATTTATTGTTTATGATATAAATTGTATGTGCTTAAGCATGACGTTTAACTGTATAATGACTGTTAGAGAGTGTGTTCACCGTGCAGCGGGAGAGCATTCAAATCTTTTTATTTTACCTGTAATATACTGCCTCTCACCTTCTGAAGTCAAACACGCACTAGCTGTCACCATGACTTGTCAATGAACCTCCTAAATATAATGTATATACTACCACACTAGTGCACTACAGTGCAAGAAAAAATTAAGTTGATTTATTATTTTTAAGCAAATTTCATACCTTATAGTGTAAACCTTTGCGAGGGAACTCTTGTTCTGCCACCTGACGTGTACAAAAGTAAAACCAAGGAATTTAAACAATGTAAATAAACACAAGATGTAGAACCTCCTTGGTTTAATTGTTCTGTGTTTAATTGATCGCTGTGGTTTATATTAAATTTGAAAGAAAAAAACATATTTGATTACATTAAGCACTTGAAAAGCAATCACACTTAAGCCTCAAAAAGAATTGAAAGAAATATTAAGACAACATATAACATATAAGTGGCAGGTGTTCTTTTGAATGCATAAGTGTCAGGTGTTTGAATGTTCTTTTGTTAAATGGGCATGCAATAGTTTATCTTTATTCCACTTGCAGCTTGCAGCTCATTGTCTTCATTAGCAATGGTGCCCGTGTTTAGTAATGTCTATGCTGGCTTCAACACAAAGCATGACACAATTCTCAGGTAAAGCTGAACATCTGGCGAGGTAACAGGTCAAAGGTCAAAGGTCACATCCACATTATTGCAGTCTGAAGTTTATTATAAAAGAAACTTATCAATGGATAAATTAAAAACAATTTGAAATTTATAGTTTTTTTTTGTCCACAAATGAGAGAAAGTGTAAATTTAAGTTTTTGAATTGAATTAGTCAATTTTGTCTCAATGCCAGATATTTTATTGGTTATTTTATATTCTGTCCAGTTTTTATGTGATCCATTTATGTTTAACAGGCCCTATACTAAATGTCTTCTTTTCCTTGCATTGTTTGTTTTGACATCACCACACCCTTTTCCTATAATTTTATCTTTTTGATGTATTTTTCTTCACAAAGAGACTTGAGTAGGTGACTATCGGGATTAATCAAGACCATGGGAAGATATTTTCAGGAATGTTTTTTCCAGTATAAAGCATGAATAAAAATTTAGATGTTATCTTTGGTAATTTTTTTTCTGTTTTTCTTTATTTAGGCTTTTGTTCTCTCTGTCCTGTTGTTTTGTCAAAGCACTCCTGTAATGTATGGTAATGTGGCAGATACAAGGGCAGGATTCTTTCCAAGGACCCTCGGTGTTGTCAGGTACTTTAGCAACTCAATGGTATATTTATTGGACCACCAGTATCAGCACTGGGGGGGGGGGGGGGGGGGGGGTACCATCATGGTGTCACTTCCAAATTGGTGCAACCACATCAGCATTTTTTGGCCAAAATTGAAAGCTTTTATTGCTCTTTGTAGTTATTTTATGTTTGTTGTTATCCCTTTTCTGTGGGTTATCCAGCTGGTGGTACATAACCGGGAGGTGACATTGCCTCTTTGATTCTCATCTTTTTTCATTTGCATAGGTGAATGAAACGTGTTAAAAGGAATTGGTTTTTGACATTTAAACACCAATAGTAGTATAATTATATATTTCACTTGTAGAAGTTCATATTTTACTGAAAGCAGAATTGTATATGAAGGATTAAAATTGTTTGTAAGCCAAATTTACCAAAATACAAATTTGTATAGTAGGGAATGAAATTTTGATTAAAAATATCAGTTTTTGTATGCCATTGTTTAAGTGTTAGATTGATATTTGAATTATTATGAATGTTTAAAATTAACCTGATTAATAATTTGTAAAGTTTGTCATGTGATTTTTTGCTTTATTGAACATTAAAAAAGGTTGAATCTGCTGTGGAATACATTTTCTTGATCATTTTCTTTCCATTACATTTGATGCTTGCAAAAGATGTGTCTTCCATATTTGACTGAATTTGAATATTGTTTTATGATTTCAGACTTCTTATTCTGCACTGGTGAAGACTTGAAATTATTTTTTTGTTTTTGTCAAGTATTGTCAGGCCATGCCTCTGTCAGATGCTTCAACATTGAAAGCATACAGTTTTATGCTTGAGCAAGGCAGGCAAGTGATCGTACCTATGAGTAACTATGTATTTCTATTGCTTAATAATGTAAAAGTGTAAATATTATTAATAATTATTTGAAAGTTTCAGGAAAATGTCTATTCCACGGCCAAGACTTACAACTTTTTTCATTACCAAATTGTTTTTGTCAACCCCTTTTGATGTTAATTTTCTTCTCCCTCACCGTCCTTTGTCTTTTTTCCTTAGCAGTACAAAATTTGTGTCTTATTTATTGCCTCCCTACCACCACCAACCACCCCCCTCAATATCTGCTCCACACCCCCAAATATATAACCTACCCAGATTTAAAGTGACTTGCAAACATTTACCTACTTTATAAGACAAAAAAAAAAAAACAGTCGGTCTAGTAGAAAGAATGTATATCAGCCTGGGAATCCACCTCCCTCCACCCCCACCCCCCACCCCACCCCCCATTCCCCTTCTCCATCATTTTGTATTTCATGACTCGGCTATCCTACCAAACCACCAATCTATGACATTTTACTAAAGGAAACAGAAATTCCATTTCCTAAAATTTATTTTAGTAGCTTTATTTATAATGCAAAAAACTATGGGCCATTTAACAGCATTTTGAATTTTACAAACACCAAACAAGTTTTTGAACTCTTCAAAACTTTGGAAGTAATTTAGTTTACAGAGCTCAGTTACAGACATTTATGCATAAGTAAAGAAACTTTACTTGAATACTATAAAAAAACCACTTACACAGATATTATAAAATGATGAATTTCTAAGTTTATATTTGTGCTTACAAGGTATTTTCTTTCCTTATTTGCAGCATGGCAACAGCAGTGGCCCTGGATAACGTTGACCAGTTGAAGGAACTGATTCAGAAAAGCAGAATTCTGGATCTGGCCGAGGCAGGCAAGGCGCTCCTCATGGCTGCTGACAAGGGGAAAGTAGAATGTCTGGAAGTACTGTTAGATGCAGGTTAGAAAGTATAGACTTATATACTTTATTGCAAATTATGCATTGGATGTACTGGTGAAAATGTACTCTTTGACAGGCATATGAAAGACCGGGTAACACTGGACTTCAGTTCAATGACAATGTACTACAATAAAATGCAATAGTTTAAATATCGTGATAGCTCCATGTAGCTCACTTGCGCATTTTATTTTTCTGTAATAATCATAATAATAATAACAACATCATGACACTTTTGAGCAATATCTATATCCCTGTTTTTAGCTGAAGTGACTCCTTCTTTAAGTATTATATATAATAAGATTTTTTAAGTTGATATATATATATATATATAACCAGGCACCTCACCAGACACCAAGGCCCTGGGTTACACCCCCTTCATCCTGGCTGCCCAGAACGGTCACCTGGCCATCATGCACATTCTCCATGCGCGGGGGTGTAACGTGATGCGAACCACGCACCCAGTGAGAGGGAGTGCGCTCCACTGGGCAGTGGCTAATGGACACCAGGAGTGCGTGGACTTCCTGCTTACCACCCAGATAGACCGGGACGCCCAGACCATGCACGGACGCACGGCTGTGATGTTGGCTGCAAGGAACGGACGTCCTGAGATTCTCAAGACACTGCTGAATGTGAGTGGTATGCTTAGGAACTGGTGTTGATTAATGAGCTAATGTTCAAGGTAATCTTCTGGTGTTAAATATGACATGTTTAAATTTCAAGCTACTTCTGACACAAAATGAAATTCAGGCTACAACATGAATCATGACAAAAAACCTTTTTGTTGGGGAACATTTTTTGACAAAGACTTATTTTTGCTTTACCAAAATTTAATAGACAGATTTAGGCATGGAAATAAATTAGCTTCAGGCTTTCATAAAAGGATTTCTTTCAGTATGAATAAGTTCATCACTCCTGTATTTCGGAAAGTTTCATTTTGTATGGCTTCTGGTGAAGACGAATAAATATGTTATACTTTATGAGTGCACATAGCACGAGTTGTGTGATCAGCAAGTCAGTAATAATTGAAATACCAGAAGATGTAATGTAGTGATTGTTTTTGAAACTATAAAAAAACTTAAACAATATTGTTTCAGGCCAACTGTAAGGTAGATATAGTAGAGAGGAGCACAGGTTACAATGCTTTGCACCATGCTGCTGTGGAGGGATGGACAGACTGTGTACAGATGTTGTTATCAGCAGGAATCAACCCCAATGCCACCACCGTCTCCGGGGACTCTGCCCTCATTATTGCTGCCAGGAAGAACAGGCTGGAGACAGTGGAGGTGCTCATCAAGGTGTGTGTGGGTGTGTGTGCATGCATGTGTGTGTACCCGTGTGTGTGTGTGTGTGTGTGTGTGCACGTGCATGTAGGTGTGTTTGTGTGCAAGTGTGTACTTTTAGGTGTATTTGTGGGGGGGTGTTTCTGCTGTCAAGTGCTTTTAGGTTATCTGGTTTGTAAAAAGTATAACACACATGTATGATGACAAGGTTTGCAGTTTTATTTTCATATCATTATTGTTCTGCGTATCAAATGTTTTTTTATAGTTCACTTCAAAAGTATTACCTTAATGTGCGTGTTTGCAGATCTTTCCTTTGCCCCGTAATTCCCAGTTCAGCTTACATATTTTTAAGTCAGTGAAAGGTTTAACCTCAACCCTTTATGAAAGAAAAATAAAAGGTGATTTCTTAGATGTAGTTTTAAAGCCAAGCAGGGAGTGTATAATGCACTGGATATCACTGCCTACATATTATTTCAAGTTAGACCACTGAGTTGAGTGAATATAGATATAAACAGTAAATCAGTGATATAAAAACCATACTGAATATACGTATATATATTCATTATCTCTTTAGGCTGGTGCTGATGTGGATGGGACAGGGAGCTGCAACATGACAGCGATACACTGGGCTTGTGAAGGGGGCTTTCTGGAGGTGGTGGAACTTCTTCTGGAAGAAGGCGCCAACCCCAGCGTGATCACAACAGATACTTTTGAATCCTGGCAGACCTTTTCTTCAGGACCCATCAATGGAGGCTGCACCCCACTCATGCTCGCTGCAAGGGGCGGTCACATTGAAATCATGGAACTGCTTATCAAAGCCGGTGTGGATTTAGTGGTGTTTGATAAAAGTGGGGATTCTGTCCTTCACTACGCTGTTCGATCCAACAGAACGGCTTGCATCGAGCTCATAATCCGGCTTGGCCTCAGCCCAGATTTGCAGCAAGAACCAGCCTTGACTGACACGCCTTTGGCAGTGGCGATGCAGGAACAGAAATATCACTCCCTCCGTGCCCTTATTCAGGCAAACTGCAATATCGATGCCAAAGTCCGACCTCCTATTGAAGAAGTCATGAGACAGGACTCTCCTTTCCGATCGCCCACTTGTTCCCCATTTGAAATGGCCGTGCTGAGGAGTCATTCGGCTGTGATGAAAATGCTGGCTCTAGCTGGCTGTGATCTCAGTATTTTGCAGTACTGGCTGGAAACCTCCTGTCTTCCTGACTCTCTGAAATACAACAGTAACCTCCTGCATTGGTTACTGGATGTTGCTTTCGTGCATAGCTCATTGAAGAATTTATGCAGGGCAAGAATCAGGGAGGTGCTGGGATATCAAGTGAAGGAGCTTGCCCAAAAGCTTCCTTTGCCAAAGAGAATCATCGAGTATGTCACACTAGCTGACCTTGATAGTATTGATTTGACCAGTGATGGTTCACAGCAGTAGAATTTCAGTTAGGCCAGATAAACTTGATGAGTTGGTTAGCCAGCTGCAGCTCTATGTAAACATAATCATTGTCTATAAATGGAATTTATCTTTTTGTAATTTATTTGTTGTTGCTTTTTAAGGAGGAAGGAAATATCAGTTTTCGACATAAACCACAGTTATTAGGCTAAGTCTTGAAGTCAGTGCAATTTTCCATTTGATAAAATATTAGGCGTGAAAATCATTTACCAAGGTTTCAATACTCTATGGCCTAAGCAGAGTCTTTGTGGTTCATTCAAATACAGAGATTTAGACAAGAAACCCTCGAGTCCTAAACCTAGTTGTACTCTCCTGCTTTGTGTATGTAACCTCTTGATTTAAAAGGGTGAACAATGATAAATGCTTAAGGTTTCATATATTTTACTTGGTGTTAATTTAGGGACATGAAGTCCTCTGTTAAAATAAAGCACTGATAGGCCATTGGTGCCATCTGATGCTTTCAACAGCTTTCGTCAGGCTTACTGATGACAGTGCTGAGAACACAAGGAAGACTGATGATGAGAAATTTAACATGTCTGTACTATGGTCCACCAGTCCTACACTGTTGCCTAGTGGCCATCTCCCCACCCTTACCAGTATTCATGGCACCTTGTTACATATGAAGTGGTTTAAACAAGTGCAAAGTGAGAGCAGAAAATAAGACTCTTGGTGCTAATTGAAAAAAATTAAGTTAAATGTACAGGAAGGATTCCTTTATGGTGCAGGGATGCAAAAGTATTCCATTGTCATCTGAACTACCAGTCATTACAGCCACCTCTCCATCCAGTATTCATGGCACCTTGCAATTCATGGCATTTTTTTTTATAAGTGTTTTTATTTGTTTTTGAAGGTAGAACACACAAGGGTGCTGGTTTTATAAGTATCTTTAATCAGAGCCAAAAAAGTGATTCATAAGTGTTCCATTTATGTTTCAGCTTCATTGTCTGTACTCGCTTTTGATGTTGTATTCGCATATGGAAGTGGTGCTAGCGAACTTCCAGATTGAGATTGAATTATATGATTTTTAAAACATTTTGATAAGTATTCCGTTATTTGACTTCGTGCCATATTTTACTAACAAAGGAAACATAATCAGTACCAAGATCACTGCCCCATTGCCATTTCGGCAGTGTATTTGTTGCAATGTTTTTTAATATCTCAAAATTTTACTTAAATGATTATTAAATCTCACTTTTTTATAACACATTTTTCTTTCAACATCCTTTTGGAGTGTTGCTTGTTGTCATATGCTTATGTTTTTGATATATATATATATATATATATATATATATATATATATGTAATAAATCACTTGCTTTAAATCATGGCTTGTTTTATTATTATTTTATGTGATGTGTTTTCCCGACTTTACCTAATAAGTTACGAGTGGGTGTGCCAAACATTTAACCTGATTATATAAAACTGATTACATTGACTGTGCTGCAGAGATAGGTAGATCTTGCTGGACAAATAAATTTTAATCTGAACACGGCCAAAAGAGTCTACCTCACGGTACAGGGGAACGGGTCTATAACGGCGTAAAGGTCTGCTATCGATCAGATCCTACTGCATCCCAGGGCGGAACTAGGCTGATTTGAAGGTGGNCTTGGCGCGGGGTTCGGGGCCCGCCGAAGGACCACAATTTTTTTTTTTTTTTTTAATATCTTAGAGGGCGAACGGTGCCATTTGGTACGGTTTAGAACTATGATTCAGCTAGTCAAAATTCTAATTTCAAGAGGGGAGCAGGAAAAAAGCAAATGTTAATAAATATTCTCAAGCTTGTGTATTGGATTCAAATGACTAAAATAATCGGTAGAGAGAGATGTAAGTTCAGTACTTACTAGTTCGCCAGTTTTACGTTACCTCTACGCTATAATTACGCTAGCTATACCGACCACTGCACGAGAACACCACTTTAGCGTATTCGTCGTACTTGTACGTCGGGTATGTCTAGCGTAACTGTAACGTATGGGTAACGAGCGTATACGATGAAAATTTTTGAAGATCTTTGAACATATAGTCAAATTTTTTTATGTCCTTCTTCGTTTTAAAGCTAACACCAACTTTCGCCTATGTAATCGAAATGTATACAGCTTGAGACTAGTTAGTCCGTATGAGTAATCTTCCTCACACGTAAGTGCTATACACTATATAGTGTGGCAGGGCCTTAATTAAGTCACCACTTGCCAGCTATACACTATATAGTGTGGCAGGGCCTTAATTAAATCACCACTTGCCAGCCGTCCCCAACCACAGGTGTATTTTCTTTGCGGTATAAAAAAAGCTGCCATGCACGTAGAAATTGCAGCTGAAAATTTATTTGGGTTGTCATGTATAGGGGTTAAGACCCTGGGTCCTGGCCTTGATAACGTATCGGCTGTTTTAAAGAACCTCGCCATTGCCACATGGAGCAAAACATGTTCATGGTCGCTGTTCTTAGCACATACCGCCATATCAAAACGTTAGGGCCTACACTTATAGGGCCTACACTTTTTACTTCAACAACTACAGCAGGACATAATCCTGGAAATAACATAGTCAGAGCCAAACCTATACCTAGCATACTTTCTCCTGACTGGGATAAAGAATCCTTGCGACCAATTTGATAAGAAAATAGAACAGTCAATACATCTAGCCGCCATGCAGATCTTCAGTTAAATCTTAAAGCAAGGGCATATCGTATATGCAAATACACAGACTACGTTTAATTTTCGTCAATCTTGTCCTAGTATCTTAAGGTTTCTTTTTGTAAAGTATCTTATCTGTTCACGAAAGCAATCAACATAGACACCGGGGTAGCGTTATTCACGCTTTATTAGTATTTTTGAAGAGATAAGTACAATCTGTTTTATATTATGAGTTGGCAAGCAAAGTGGCATTTGCAATTAAAAGGAGGTCCGAAACTGCAAAAAATTCTGTGAGCAGGTTAATCAACCCTACTCCTTTATACAAAGAAGGGGGAGGTAGGATACGTTTATCCATGCTCCGTGTATCTTGAGAGGAGTGAGCTATCAGTTGGCAGTTAATTGTGTCTACCAAGGTAATTGAGGTTGGGTGTGTAATTGTGATGATGTATGGTGGTACCATGGATTGATTTGACTGTCAAACTGCAAAGGTGTCCATCAGAATGCTTTAACTCATCTGCTTGCCTTCACGGCCAATCCTTGGGGAGATGAATCGGTTTCTTTATAAAACCATTTCGTTTCCTCTGATTTGTCAGCCATCAAGGGGCATTCAAGAATTGCCTTGTTTGGAACCTGCAAAGATGATGTAAAGTGTGTTTGTAAAAAATGTTAACTTGAATTGACCGTGGAGAAATTAATAATATGTCAATTAAGTCCAGTATTCAAAAGAACCCAGTGCAGATACGGATTAAATCCAGCTTTCAAATTGCAGATACATGTATGCTTTCTCTAATTTTCTTGTATGACGTGCTTGGATAAATGTATGGTTGTACAAAGTGTGGTAAATGTGCAGGCCAGTAGCCAGCAATTTCAAAAGGGGGGTTCTTTTTCTGAAACAGTGGACCTTTTCCATAAAAACTCCATGTACCTAGATCAAATTTTACCCAGAGTGGACCTTTTCCTAGCAAAAAGGGCGGTTCTTTCGAACCCCCTGAACCCCTGGCTACGGGCCTGATGTGTTTGGTAAATGTATGGTTGCACAAAGCGCATCGCTCATGTTACACGTGCAATGGGTGTGTATTTGACTTTACATGCATATCATAAACTAAAGGTAAAAGGAATGTGGATGTACACAGACCTTCTTCAGTGGCGTATATTGCGGGTGATGGTGCGCTATCACGGGGTTGTTTCTTGCGCTGTTGTAGCAACAAACAAGTCCCCAGCGGCGTCTATCACTGTTGTTCTGGTCACTGGTGTGAAGAAGGTTACAGTGAAAGAACGCTGCGTCTCCTGGGTTTAATTCTACGTAGGTCAAGGGCAAAACCTTGGAGGCTTGTTTCACACGTTCAAGATCGGCACCGGTTTGGTTTCCGATTGGCACGTGATCAATGCGGCCCAGCCTGTGCGATCCAGGCAGAATCTGAAATGCAACAGCGCAAGTAAGTTTTGGGAACATTTAAAATCCGACCAAAACGTTTTTTTTTCTAAAATAGGACAAAAAAACTGTATTAAGCCCACCATTTGTAAGTACGTGTTCGAGGATGGTAGTTGGTCTTACCTGAAGGCATCCGTTATTCCTGTCAGCACGATCTATTGCTATGAAGACAGTTGCCATGTCTGGGAACAGGCAGCCATTATGGTACCAATAACTGCGGTAGAGAGAATATCCTGCTGAGATACTTCTTCATCCAGACATAATGTAGATTAGATCAATAAGAACTGAACAAGAAAGTTTGTGACAGAAGTTATAATTATGAACGAAGAAATACTTGCGAAAAGTTCGTCGTTTTCTTTTCTTAGGGCATTTTGGTTTTAAGCCAATTGCATGCGCGCTCTAGTACCCCTTTAGCGACATGTATAAACGAAGACAACTTACAACTAGGTAATGGGAAGGTTGGATAGAAGTTCTGGCGCTAATATGAACTAATAAAACTGAAATTATTTTTCATCTTGGAACGTTATTTTTAAAATACCCAACCCATAATCCTGATGCCAGACAAACGATCCACCAGTGTGAGCGTCCTTCTGAATCAGCTTGGTGTGATAATGGTACACTTCACCATCCAAAAACTGAAGTAAAACGGATTTTTGATCATTTTAAACAGGATTGAAATAGGATTAAAATAGGATTGAAGCATTGTAACTACCTTACGATCCTAAGACAACAGACAAAGGTTTTTTTTTCTTATTTAGTCTGTTAATATTGCAAGTACTACCATATGGGCCATCTAATTTTGATATGAGTAATCATATAGTGAGCAGGGTTTTTGAGATAGAGAGACAGGGAGAGAGAGAGGCTTGCATTTCAGTTTAACTTAAAACTTTAACTAGTTGAAACGAGAGCCCAATAAATTTCAATTCAAGTCACCGTTTCCATGGCGTTGACGACTTTTTCAGACCTGGCCACCATTCCTGTTATGTCCTCCCCGGGGTGATTCCATAACGTCATATTTACCCTCCGTCCCTTCCCATCATCACGACCAAGGCGGTACTGCAATATGCGACCGTCAGTCTCCAGAGCATCCTTCACGCGCTTTAATTCTTCTGAACTCAGAAGATTTCTAAAGAGATTTTCAAAATCAACAGGTGTTTCCTAACTTTGTCATGGCAGTTGTTATGTCAATTATCTTTAAGGTTTGTTATATAAACGACAAAATCATTAATGTTCAAAGTTTAGTTTTGTTAATTTTTAAAGATTTCTTGATTTCTGTTACATCTTGAAAAGAACATGCCTGATGTTTGTAAATGTCAGATATAACCTGTGCCACAAAAAAGTACCTAGATTTTAATAATATGGACCTATAATCAGCATAGGGACTTATAATGGGCTAATATAGGGACCTATAATCACTCGTGCATACATTGTACGCATGCACAAGTAGAGCAACGTACCGCACGATAATGAAGCCATTATCATCAAACTCCTTTTTTATACTCTCTGTAACCCAGGAAGATGTACCTTCTTCGTACTTGTGTCCTGTTTAGAACAAAACAGTTAGGTTTAGATTATTTGCCCCTTCCACCCAGGTCTTTCTCGCTCTCTCTTTTCTCTGCAGTTGCCTAATGGCAGCGTACGATGTGTTTACAAAATGTAAGAAAAAATCAAAACACTGTCTCATAAATTCTCATATTATCAAAAAACCTTGTCAACATGAAATTCATTGAGTGTTAAGAATGAATAGGCCACTTCTTAGCGTTACCTTCCGGCGTGTCCGCCATCCTCTTCTTACGTTGCTGTTAGTCTACAACTCGACAGGTGCCCGATCAAGTAGAAAATACTGACATATAGGCTGATAATGTAGACAGACGCTATATATCGTCGATAACCTATTTATGTGGATTATCGTCTCCTTAATACTGCTGTCAAGATACGGGCACCGGATCACGTGACGGATCATTTTACTTTTAAAAACCTACACCACCTTGGCCTAAATTCTGTATCACGCCACAAACAGAAAAGTGTCTGTTATTTTTTGTTCTCAGAAAAATGAGCTATCTGTTGTTGTTTCAAGATACGCAGGTGGCTGTTTGAAATAAAGACCGCCATGTTAACACGTTGGTGTTG